CGAAACCTCCCCTCGAAGCAAACTCGCCATCCACGCGACCGGTATCGCATAGTAATGTACGCGATTAAGGGAGGATCGATTCTGAATTTTATCGCGCGTTCGCCTAACGCACTTCCAGACAATCGATACAACAAATTTCTCCGTCCCTTCTCTCCCGACCCGCATAAATAATAATACCGACAAACGAGGGAAAAAAAAATGACATTTTCTCTCCCGCTCTATATCTGATTTTCGTCTATGTAAGTCGCATCTTCTCTCATCTTCCATAATTTTTTTTTTTTTTTTAACTCGCTTCGCCTCCAAAGTTAGCTCCCGTATGTACCCCGCGCGCGCGCGCGGAGGATTATTCCAATTCACGTGAATTACACCACAGAAATCCTACGCTTTCGTAATCTCGTATAATTCCTTTATTCACGCGGCGACTCTTCTCGGAAGATCGTTAGGCGGATCCTCTCTCTTTTCCTTCCCGCACCCGCAAAATCTGTATACATAGACCACCCCCCACGGCTCTGCTGGCTCTTCTTCTTCTTCTTCTTCTTCTTTCCCGGGACTTTAAGTCCGGGCGAATGTGGGGGATGCCTTTTTGCATAAAATGCATATTCATCACACGCGAAAAGAAGAAGAACCTGTCCGCGATTGCGTCGGGCAATTTCGTTGCACGGAGTACATATCGATTTGTGAGAAGAGAGGAGAAAGAGATGAAAAAAAAAAAAAAAAAAACAAAAGAAAAAAGTTCCGATGGCCGATATCGTTTTTTTTTTTTAATTTTTTTTAACTTTAAAGATTAAAATGTAGATCGCTAAATCGCGATTATCCGAGAGAGAGAGAAAAAAGAGAATCTGCAAGAGTTGAAAATATAGTCGGAACGTCCGCGTTACATGGCGAGTCTTCATAAATGTCTGGTATTTTCGCGTGGCGCGCGCGCCCTCGGGTAAGAAGATACATATTCATTCTCATCCTGCGCCTCCTCCTCCTCCTCCTAGAAGGGTGCATCCTTAATGGAGACGAAGGATAGGAACAAGAGAGATTCCGACGGGAGATCTCCGTGTAGATTTTCACCGGACGTCCGCGTGAATGGCGAGCAGTATCGATCAGCAACAACGACGGACGGGAGGAGTAGTAGTCATTCGGGCACATTCTGCGCAGGCAGCTGTTTCCGAAAGACCTCAATTCAATTTCTATTTCCAGCGCGATGTCTGTATATGTGTGTTGTTAACACACAATATGTGTGTTACAGATCCGAACCGTCCCCGCGTGTAACAAGTGTATAACATCACGCTCCGACACAACCGTGTTTTGCGGGCTCTCGCCGGGGGTTTCTTGTATCGTTTCATATTTCATATTTCGAAAGGTGCGGGATAAAATGACGTATTTACAGAAGGTTTTTTCGCTCTCGCGAACTTTGGCGCGGAAAATATTTGTTTGCGCAAGGACGCGGGTGAAAAAAAAAAAGCACGACGAAATCCCCCGTAGATTGACCGGACATCGAATGGGAAAAAAAAAGAAGCGAAGAGAAAAAAAAACGTTCGTTCAAGGGGGCGAAAAGCGAGGCGGCGTTAGCTTCACTAAAGTCGGGGTGAATGGCCAAGTGAGAAAGAGAGAGAGAGAGCAGTATGGCAGAGAGAGAGAATATCGTGATCGCGCGATGCGCGTCGGGAAATTAAACTTTTACTCGACTCTCTCTCTCTCTCGTTTTCACGAAAGAGAGAGAGAAAAGGAGAGATAAAAAGGAACAATATTTATCTTGCAGCGCGCGCGGCGAAGATCATATTTTTCCGCCCCGTAATTTTAACGACGGCCAGCAGATAGATGATTTGGCGGGAGATTTATTAAAGTCACGGTAATTTAATATTCGTTATACGAACGAAAGAATTTTCATTCTCATGAAGGCTCCATCTTGCGCTCGGACGTTATTGTAATCAAAAAAAAAAAAAGAAAAAACGCAATTCAACCTACGTACAGCCGCGCAAATTATCGCGTTTTTTTTTTTTTTTTTTTTGCGAGAGACAATGAAAATAACTCGAACGTTTTAAACACTTTGAGATGCGAAACTTCGGCGAGAAAGATTATTGAAGAATGTCTCTTCTCGACCACTTTAAATAACCGTAGACAGCGGTTATATTACGTGACCGACAGTCGACGCTTCTGAGCTTTACATCAAGCCGCGTCGTGACTTATCCCGAAAAAAAAAAGTCTGCAGAGAAGAAGTTTTTTCTTAATTGAGTGCAGCGGTCGCGGAAATTGTATTCCCTTTATTTTTTGCACAGTAATGTATTTTTTTTTTTTTTTTTTTTTTGTTGCACAGGAAAAAAAAGGATATCGAACACGACATGTGCGTTGTCGCGTGCGATTAAACGAAAGAGACACAAAATTATGGAAAAAAGAGGCGAAATCGCGTGTCACGCGCACACATCGCCAACACCAACGAACACCAACGCTTCGCTTGGTCATCGAGTCAAGGTGAAATTGATAATATTCGCGTCCGTGAGATTGCAGACCGAGAGCGGAGACTTCGATGGCGTGACTTTTTCAAATTCGTCCTCCGGTCACGCTTAAAGCTTATCCCTTCGCGTTCTCTCCTTTCCCCGTGTGTAATTGAAAATTTATCCCTCCCCTCCGCGATATCGTTTCTCGCTCGCCCCGTGTTTCTATTGATCCGAAATTACTCTCGAGAATCCGAGAAGCGGGTAGGAGGCGGCGAAATAGGCGGCGTGTTCTTCATGTTCGAGCATCTCCTTTTACTTTGTGTTTAATCGCGAGAGAGATTTGCGTTCCGTGAGCTCTATAAATTGCATCGCGAGCTATTCCACGAGCGGAATCAAAGGGTTGTTTGGGCGAATTACAATTTGCGTGAAATGTAACCGAGTCGCGCGGAACGAAGATGGAGATCAAAGCGCGCAAAAGGTAGATCGACGACGACGACGACGACGATATTACACGCGTTCTCTCTCTCTCTGTAAATCGCCTGAGACCGAAAATTCTCGCGGTTGAGACCCTCCTCCCGGCGTTGAGTTTCCAGAATCGACGATCGCAGCTGCTACGCGTAACTATAAATACTCTCGCGATTAAGCAAATTCCGAGTGGTAAGATAATTAACGAACTCGGTACGGCGCGTAAAGTGCGCGAAATTTTGCTACCAAACATATCGCAAATAAAGAACTTGATTGAAAAATAAATAAGTAGTTGAGCGAAAAATTAACCTTGAATTTTTCATCGCAAACAAAAAATGTGCGTGTCCAATTAAATCGATATAACACACGCGTATGATCCGATTTCGAAAGTTGCGAGAGAGATTTGCGAAAAGCAGGTTTCGAAACGCGCGTGACAGAGACGTAATTTCCAACGCGAACGGATAAACTTTCAATTTCTCTCTCTCTCTCTCTCTCTTGCTCAAGTCGATGACGTTTAAAACTAGGAATTTAAATCAGACCTGCAAAAGTCAGCTCAGATGTCGTGACGCAAAGTAATAAGAGAACGAGTGTAATTTTATCACATAAATTGATTGGCGTAAAAATCAATTCTCTTCAATTTAAATAATTATCTGTGTGATTTTCTCACACTTATGTATATATATGCGAAACAATATTTTTCCTTCCCGTGTTCTCTCTCTATGAATAAATTTTTACGGAAAGTCGATTATTATCGTCTCAATCTCGAGAAGTCGCTTGAAAAATCAAGTTCCAGCGAGCCATTCCGAGATATCGAGAATATATTTTTGTTTTTTCTTTGAAAAAAAAAATACAAACTCGCGAGACCCGAACTTCTCCGCAAAGAGAGAAGGAAGAAAATTGACGCACTTCTCACCTCTTCGCTATCATCGTTACTATCATGAGAAATCTCCGGCCGTTGAAACTAAAGCCCAGGCGACCGACCGATATTTATCGCACGAATTAACGCACAATGCATTTTGTCGCGCATGCACGACTCACTTGCGCTGTAAAGCAGATTATTTATGGCGTCGTATCGTCCTTTTGCGAGAGAGCGACTTGGCGCTACAAGCGACAATCTCTCTCGTACGTGTGACTCGCTTCTTTTGTCTCTCTTTTGTTTTCTATTAATTGCGAGACTTTCAGAGAAAAAAAAGTAAAATTACATGAAAAAAAAAAATTCTCTGTAATATACAAACACAGGTGTCAAAGTAATTTACGAAAAAATTTACTGCGAAAAAGTGAATTTGTTACACGCGTAAAGACTCATTTACTCACGCGTAATTTTATTTGAAATCTGCGCGAAAACGGACCTCCCGTTAATTAGCTCCCACCACGCTCGACGTTTATCATCCCCCTCGTCGACGTCAAGACGGAAACTATTTCCAGTCGCACCCCGCGTAATTATTAAGAACTCTCACTCGGGAGAGCACACGTTCCGTTTATAGATAAATTCTTGATAGGTTTTCGTTATCACGTATTTTGCTCTGCACAGAGTTTAAACCTCTGATCTTTCGGCGCGCGTATGTTATGTATAAAATATTAAATTTTTTTTTTCCATAGTTCCAACCCGTGTGGAAAATGATCGATTATAAAGATTTTTTTTCTGAGAAAGTCTGAAAGGTTTTTTGTCTCCACAAGTTTGTTCGCAGTTGGTCGGAGAGATTCCACCCTTACTCTTCTCTCCCTCTCTCTCTCTCTCTCTCTCTTTCCGTGTTTCCCAGAGGAACGCTTGCGCCAATATCCGGTGTCAGAAAACGATGGAGAAGAAGAGTTCGCGCTTCTCTGAGAGAGCGAGAGAAAGAGAAAAGAAACAAACTTGCAACAAGAAAGAAAGAGAGAGAGAGAGAGAGAGAAAGAGAGAAAAGATTGTATGTCCGGTTTTCCACACTTTCTTCCTCCGACAAAAAAAAGCGAGTTAGCATAATTAAACACTTTCCTTGTCTGTGTAATTTACATATCACACGCAGCGCGGTGTTATCGTGCACGCGCGCGCGCGCGCGCGTGCGTGTACAACAAACAAAAACATCTTCATCTCTTCGCGCACGAGACTGGCCTCGTTTGTGTTTTTTTTTTTTTTTTTTTTTTTTTTTTTTTTTTGTTTGTTTTAATCTCCTTAACGACATAAGCGATATAACAACTTCCAATGTGGATTATAAAAATATTTTTTATCTTTTTCTCGTTACCAACTAGTTAACCTATTGATATGTAAACTATCGATATGTAAAATTGATATGTAAAGTCGCACGGATCAATGTGATCCGCATATCATATCGTGCCGCGTAGAATCCGCGAGGCGGAATTTTTTACCCCGCCTTTCGCATTCTCGCGCGAATCGCGTCTCTGCGTCTCTCTAATTTATTTAATTTTGGCCGGCGTTTCTGTAACTGTATGTGTACTTGTGTGTGTGTGTGTGTGTGTGTTTGTGTTTGTGTGTTTTTTTTTCTGTGTACACAGCTTTGATAAGTGAATAAATAAGACGCTCGTCCCGCGTGCATCGGCAGTATATATCGGTATCGTGAGAAAGACAACAACAAACAACCGTATTCGAAAATAAACAGGAACAACAATCGATATGATCAATTATAAACTATACTTATCCTCGTAATCGCGCGTCCCTCGAAGATGTCGAAGACGTCGTTCGATCGAAAACGATGCGATTCCAAAGAAGTCTGGTGTTCACTGACGTAACCGGTCAGCTCGATTCCGCATCTTCGATTACTCGTCTGGTGTATCGCCCTCGTCTTCGAGCGACGAAACGATATTTGATTCGATCGAAACGATATATGAACGATGCACGCGCGACTCACGCCGACGACGACGAACGGGTCGGGACGTCTCCACGATGGTTATTCCTCCGGCCAGCCGAGATCCTCGCCGACGAGTTCGTAGAAGCGTTGATTGTGCTCGTTGAAGAACTTCCTCAGCTTCGTCACGACAATCGGACTGACGCGCGGATGTCGCCTGCCCTTGCTCTCCTTCAGACACTTCTCCGACGTCTCGTTTCTCAGGCAGTAGAAACCCTTCGTGTGGTTGAAGTAGAAATTGTGCCGGCCGATCCGCGGCTCAAGCCCGAGAAAGTTCTCGATGCGACGCAGCTGCGGCACCGGATCCTCGATCAACTGATCGCCGTTTACGATGAGGATCTGTTCCCGCGGGAACACCTCCAACCAGCGGTGCATGTAGGTGTGATAGAGGGAGATGGCGACTGGTCTGTAGGATTCGTTGATAGTTCCGTCGGGTCGCATCACCAGTTCCTCGAAGGTACGCGCCGCTTGTTGTTGTTGTTGTTGCTGTTGTTGTTGCTGCTGCTGCTGTTGCTGTTGCTGCTGTTGCTGCTGCTGCGGCGTGCCGTTCGTTATTAACGTAGACGCGGTGGCCGCGTGAATGCGCAGCTGAGTATAATCGGATATCGCTCGGGTGACCGGCTCCCGCACGATCAACAGCAGCTTCACGCTGCCGTTCATCGCGCGGATTCTCTCGGGCACCTCGGGCGTGATGAAGTAACTAGGGCTCTTCTCGATCGTGATCTGGCCCTTGAACGAATACGGCATCTTGCGGCGGTACCACTCGAGACCCTTACCGTAGTTGTCGTCGCGATCGAAGAAGTGAACCTCACCGGCGGCACGCTGTATCTGCGGGTGAAGATAGAGCATCTCCAGGAGCGCCCGGGTGCCACATTTGCGCACGCCGATAATAATGGCCTGGGGCAGGTGACGATACGTGTGCGGAAAGTGAACTTTGGAGTTGGAGAAGAGGAGAGGCGGCGTCGCGCGTACCTGCCGAGAAGAGATAATCAAAAACTCTTTACACACGCACATATTTATATACATATTTATCGGAGTGGTGGATGGTCGTATTTTTTTGTTTTCCGCTGCGAGATTTTTCGGATCGTCACATCGTACGTACCTGGGAGACCAGTTCGACTGTGCGTCCTTCAACGGCGGAGACCGCGTGCAGGCTATAAACGGCGCTATCATATAGTATGTGGAAGGTGAGGAAGAGGGAAAGCAGAGCGACCGATAGGAAGGCGACGGCCACCTTCGGCCGGGACACGCCGACCACCAGAATGCAATCTGACGCGTCACCCTCGGCCGGCCTCATGGCAGAGCGGGACATCCACCTGCGATAACCAATCACAGAAAAAACCATTCGTCTCGTTAAATAATATAATACTTCTCGGGGATACACGTTAAGAATGCATCGGGGTCATGTAGAGACACTCGACAAAAATTACGAAACGTTTTTCTCATTTTTCAGCTAAAACACTTTGGTAAACAATTTTCTGAGAAAATTTGAGCACGTTATATATTTTATTTGAAACAACAAATTTTATTTCTTATATAGTTACTTTACTAGCAAAGTATTATCGGTAAGTCGAAAATACTCTTACACGCGCTACTACTCTTTGATCCGCGTCTGCTGATCGACTGTTTTGTCGATCGCGGGGCGATCGGTTTCGTCTCTTCTCGAAGTTAAATCGTTTTTGTTGTTTGCCGCGCATTGCTCGTACATTATCACGTATAAGCCACGATTAACATACGAGCTATCCGAACACAATCAGGCCACACACGCGGCACAAAAATCCGATTTACAATTCAACGAGTTTCTTACAACGCTGAAAAAAAAAAAAAAAAAAAAGTTTGAATCAAGTCAGTTTTGTAATCGAGAAAAAACGACTTTATTTCGGACGCAGAGATTTATTCGGAAAAAATAGCCAAATTAAAAAATCATCAATTCGCGGTATTTGTAGTATTTTTCAAATCGAGTGCACTGTGAATATGGTTTTGACTTATTAAAAAAAAAATTGATTTATCAGCTTTTACTTGTTAAAAATGGTTAAAAGCTAAAGATATAAATATTTGATGTACATATTTATATATATATATATATATATATATATATCTCTCTCTCTCGAGAACATTAGCTCGAGAGAGAGAGAGCGAGTTGAAGTTCCATTTCTAGTTTCAAGAAATTCTTTCAACTCCCAAAAGACATTCGTGTATATTTTTTTTTTCCGCCTCCGTTGTTCCTTCTTTCCGACACGCAACAACGCCGTTAGTTACGCCTCTAATTTATTCTTTTCTCGGTAAAGACGAGGGTACGAGTGCTCAAAGCGCCGTCCGTGATCGTCGATTATTACAGTGTACGTGCTTCGCGAACGTGCAACTTAGCCGGTTTAATGGCCGTTTAAAACTCGGTAGAACCGATTTATCGGAAACGAATCGGAAAAGGATGGGGAGCAAATCTATAAGATTAGCAGATGATTTAACGCACGCGCTGGTTTATTTTACGGTCCAACCTACCCGGCGGGAGTAATAGCGTCGAAACCGAGTCGGTGTCGTAGCACTAGGCCGATAATTGCGCAGTTGATTGACGTTTACACGAAACACCGTGAATTGCCGCCGACACTCGCAAATTTGTCACAAGTGCGCTCGCGTGACAGACGAACAAAGCGGTTGTCAATGCGGCGCTCGCTAATTTCGTTCGCCATACGGGCTCAAAAGTTTATCGATCGTCGAATTTTAGTGACAATCTCTACAAGCCGCGCGTTAGGATTTCCCAGCTTTCTCTCTTTCTCTCTCTCTTTCTCTCTCTTTGTCAGTCTATGTATTTTTTTTTTATCTCTGCAAACGATAAATCTTTGACCCGCATGCTGTCCCGTGAGCGAAAACTAATGGCCGCTCGCGCGCCGAGACGATTGAACTTTAAGCGTCACGTGAAATATAAACCATACGATACACATATGAGAGGTGTTAGAAATAATGCGTAAAACTCACACTCGAAAACTAAAAAGAGGAGAAAAAAAAATAACACGTAATTAAAGTCACGTGTCTTGAAAACGTCAAAAAGTAAAGTCACGTGACACAAGGAGGAGAAGAAAAACAAAACGTGACTGAAATCACGTGACTTTAGTCACGTTTTTAAAAACACGTCATACGGAAAAAGATTATAAAAATATAATGAGTTATTCGCACGCGTACACACACACACACACACACACGTATGCAAATAAATAGGCCTGGTGTAACGCGGCCTGGCAAAATTCATCATTGCATTCAACATGATTAATTTGTCAAAAGAAGCGCGTGATAAAAATTGAAAATAGATGTTCTCGCCTCTCTTCACTCTCGGTAAATCACATTTATTAGCGCCGCCTCGGCCGAAAGAGAGAGAGAGAGAGAGAGAGAGAGAAAGAGAGAACGTTTACAACATTAGCGCAACAGGCATGTAAATTACATGTCCTCGCGCGCGGATAAAGGTCTCATGGCGAAAGTTGTTCCGCGAGGCGAAACCCGGAGAACGAATCGGAATTCACAAGTGACGAAACTTGTGTAGTCGAGAGCTCTTAAACTCGGAATAGCTAACGAACTTCTGAAACGCAGAGCGGAGGAGGCGAACGACGCGAGGATAGCGCAGAGGAAAGAGAGAGAGGAGAGAGAGATCGATCTGATATATAAATGATGCAGAAAGGTCGGTACCCCTGAGACAGGGCGCAATCTAAATTTGATGCTGTTGCATTTTGCATTCCGACGTAATGGCTTCTCTAACGTTTATCGTCCGATACACTTCGGGCCCCCGTGTTACATCATCAGTTTCGCGCAACTCATCGATCTCTACTCGGCCGTGATCGAGCGGAGGTACATACTACCTACAGGTATATACTCTATAGTGTTTCTCGTCTCGTTCGTGCTTAATTGCAATTCGCGTCGCAATTAGAGAATTTATCGTGCCATTGCTCTGACGAGATCGTTTTTTTCTTTCTTTTTTTTTTTTTCTTTCTTTTTATTTTCTGCGCGCGCTCCGCGAAAGGTAAAAACCTCGAAAGCGGCCCGTTTCTCGGATGAGGAACTTGCTTCCGGAACTGCAGTTCCCTTGCAAATTTGTCGAGATATGAATGATCGATATACAAAAATTAGAAAATCAAACTGGAACACACATTTTACACGTTTTTAACTAAGATTTATTAATTAAAATCGGTTTTTTGTTTTGTTTCGAGTATATTATCGCGATTTCTCGCTTTTCTCTTCGAGTTTCAAACGGCATTCGCGCCTTATCACTGCCGCGCTCAACGGAAAATATCTCGGACCACGTTGCGTCTTTAATGAGATCCTGTTTTCATTTTGGGGGAAATGCGCGAATTCTCTCGCGTCACAGTCGACTCCTACTCTCCCTCTCTCCTCGATGAGCACAACGAACGCCATTTGACGCACAAGTTTTCTGACTAAAATTTGCTTTGTGCTGCGGCGCGGCGCGAGGTGTTTCCGTGGGAAATACGCGGCCTGTGTTATCCGGACAAATTGCAATTTCCAGAGAGTTGCCTTCCGCGTCGTTGCGCGCTTCTGCGAAACTCTCTCTCTCTCTCGCACACGCTCGTGACTATCAAAACGATCCGCTATTTACTCATTATCACTATAGCATATCAACACGTAATTATATATATATATATATACCTCGGTCTGACAAATTTATAAAGCGCCAACGTAATTTTATACACTCCGTCGGACGCTGCGCGCACAGGTGTACGTAATTTTGTTTTGAACCCGCGACTACGACGCTACTTCGTTACAAGACCATAACGCGTCGTCGTTAAAACGAAAAAAAAAAAAAAAAAAAAGAAGATAAAACAGCTAGCGAAAATGATGATCTTCCGTTCCGTTGAAATTGTACGTTATCTCGTGCGCCAGTGTCTGGTGTAATTGGGATGTGGCCGCGGAAAGCAGCAATTTTCTCATTTCAGGAGGACAAGCGCGGAAACTTTAATTAACTAATTATGTACATATGGCTAACTATCGTTGCGTCGCTCGGCTCCCGCGAGCTCTCGATTCAATCGAGAACTCGTCGAAGAGAAGAAAGACAATATTGTGTTTCAATATGTACTTAAAAAAAAAAAAGAAAAAAAAAACAATTTTAACCACACACATATATATATATATATATATTTGTATACTTACAAAACATCTATGGGGGATTGAGGAGACCACTCTTGATGAGGCCGCGCCTTGTTGGGCATCTGTGCTCGTTTGTACGCTCACATTGTTGAAGTTTCTGAAACAACCGCAGAGAGTAAGAGAGAAATACCACGTTAATCAAACGGCTTTACGCTTCGCTATCTTCTTAAGTGTCTAAATGATTTTTAATTCGATTAAGCAAGTTACACGTAATCTCGTAATAATTATAACTCTCTCTCGAAGGCGAAGAAGAAGGTGATGCAAAAACAACTACTTGCGGAAATTTTTTGCGTAGATTTTGTTTTTTTTTTTTTTTTTTTGTCACGACGAACAACGGGGACTAAAATGGACCCCGGGACGATGCTATGGGAAATCAAAATGCTTTTCAAGGGATTCCTTCGGGGGTGACCCAGTTGCCCCGGAAACTTACATAGCGCGCGCAAATAGAATCACCCGGTGGAATAGCAACTTTTCTCATTCTAAACTGTCTGTCCATGCGCACCGTCCGAAGCTCTCCTCATATGCGTGCGCGCGGATACGCTCCAGATTTGTTTTGCTTTTTTATTTATTTATTTATTTTTTTTTTTCAACCGCGTTTCGAGCTCGGATAAATAATGCGCCCGTTACAGAATTACCTGTGCGTTATTGCATTACATCCCGGTCGTCGGTATATAAAAAACCCCGACAACTTTCACGTTGTCCGATGGAAAAAACAAATTGAAATGATAATAATTCAATTTTTTACGTTCCATTTATACAAATAATTTATTATTTCAGATCGTTCTCTCGTAAATAAGAAAACTATCGTGTCTCTCGGCACACGCGATTTGTTTTTATTTTATTGTGTATTCAAACTTCTGTTTGTTTTTTTTTTTTTAGAAAAACACGCGACGCGATATATAGAGCGCCGCGAACACGCACATCCATTCATCCACGACACTTCGCGACACGTGTGCCATTACACCCGCGATGATATATCGCGATGTTGCGCGCTGCCGCCGCTGTCTCGAAGAACGACAATTTGTGAACATCGGCGGCGCGCACACACAGTCGCACACTGTTGCGATAATCTCGCGACAACACAACATTTGAAATTACCGACGACGACAAAAGGATTAAAAACCGATGTAAAACAACACACAACGCGCGATATCGGAGTTATTCGAATTTCTCTCGACCTTGAACACTTTTATTACGAGATTACGCGCATCGATCGGAGAGGGCTACTCGACTCGAGGCTGTCGATTTGTTGTTTGGCGTTTTAAAATGCGCCTGCCTATTTTCATTTACGTCATAGACGGTCTGGCGACCGTCTGACCGGTTGCACGAAATAACAAGGACACGCCGCGCGGCATCAAAGAACGAATCGATATATCGAATGCGCGAACTTCAAGGAAGAGAGAGAGAAAGAGGCAAAACTATGATGTAACTCCGTGGCATTCTTCCGCTTGCGTAACGGTAATGTGTCACGAAACGTCGCCGAGAAGAAAAAAGCGGAATAATAACGGATATTTGCACGGCGCAAGCGGAATTATTTAAACGGAGACGTTTTAATTTTATCTATCTCTCCCGGTTCTCTTCCGAGAAGAAGCTCGCAAGAAGAAGATTGTTTCCTTATATATATATTTTTTTCTACATATTTTATACATATATCTCTCTCGTATAATCGCAAATATTCTCGTCGGAGACTGGAGAGATAAGAAAATAGCTATGCATGTAAATGCAAAATTAAGAGAAAGAGCTGTTAAAAATTCACAACGCAAAACGTCTAGTTCGTCTTTTGAGAGAAATGAGATGGAAAGTTAATTTTTTTCCCACCGAAGCTGACATTTATATCCGTTGCTTTGTCTCTCGTCTTGAAAATGATTCCCGAGAGAGAAATCGCGTAAATATATTTGTGTCGTCCTCTCTCTCTCTTTCTCTTTCTTCTATATATGTTTATTTCGCGTTTAGCTTAAATTCATTGTTGCGATAAACGTTTCATCCGACATTTTTAGTATCTTTGTAATAAAAAAATAGAAGGATTCTCGTTCACGGTTTAAATTCTTCCGAGTAACGTACGTAGCGATGATTCGAGGAAAAAATGCAAATTTGCGAACGTATCGCATGATTTCCCGAACGGAGCTGCGTCTGTGAGGAATCGTTCGTGGGTTACCGCTACTTTAACGACCGCTTTGGAAGTTTCGCCCCCCGGTCGATGATGTGTCCGAGGCACGCGAAAACGTTAAAAGTTCGTCCGGCAAACACGGGCGGCTGCGACCGCACAATCGATATTTACTCCCTTCCCCCGGAAACTTCCAAGTGTGTCGCGAATTTGATAAATCGGCTGTGGCGGGAGGAGGGAAAGTGAGCGCGCGAGAGACCATTTTCCTCCGTTCTTCGGAGTTCATATGCGAAAGTGTATGAACATGACAAATAACATTTCCTGTGTTTCTCGTATATAAATAAATATATACGCGATACGATTCCGGACGTGTAATCATTTCTGGAGAAGTAACGACACAAGAGTCGAAGAAACGCAATCTACCTGATGAACGAGACGTAGAAAAAAATTTTTTTTTTTCTAGAAATAAAAATCGAAACATAAGTCGTCGGAAAACAAGACAAGTGCAGAGTTTCTCGGCGAAAACGAAGCGAATCGTTTAAACAAACGGCCTTCGAAAGGCCTTAAACTTTCCTTATCGAAAAGTCGAATTATATCCGATGGACCAATGAAAAGACAGGAGGGGGAGGGGGGGAAGAACTCGCCGAGATAAGGCGCCATTTATCAGCAAAGGAACGCGCGTTCCTATTATAGATAAACGTTATCTTCGCGCCGGGTCGCTCAGACACTTTGTAAACGCGAGAGAGTACTGAAGTTAAGCGCAAAATTGCGCTTCCTACACGTAGGAGAAAGCTAAATATATAAGAAGAGAGATTTTTTTTTCCTTGAAGAGAAAGAAAAATCAATTGTCTCTCCTTTGTCTTAAATAATTTTTCGCCTGGAAGCTAACGAGGGATTTCTTAAGCAGCTTCTGGAGCGTCTGCAGCGCGCTGTCCACTTGTAGTTACATATCTTTCTCTCTCTCTCTCTCTCTCTCTCGTCTTTTGCTCTTTCTCTTATCACAGATACTCGACACAATTTCCAGATTTCTTTATCGAGCACTCTTCATCGTAACATGTATTTTCTGCTGCAGAAGCAGAGGTCAAACGTATGTCCGCTCTCCGGGGAGGGAGAAGGGTAAAACCTTGAACTTGTTCCTTTCTAATGTTGGAATTCAATAGATACGCCGCGGTTTGATGTGTGTGTGTGTGTGTAGTATATATACACATATATTATATACTTCGGTCGATAAATAAATACGGACATAAATCAAAGTTATACATAAAATTTTTGTGCATTTAATAATACGCGGTTGTCGCGATTGTAAATTCTCGATATATATATATATATATATGACGCGCGCATTAAAAAATTCAGCGAAGCGAAAAGATTAAACTCGGGCGAAAACGTGTGCAATTGAAAATAACACGGATTCTCGAAAACCGTGTTATAGCGTGACGGCCGCGCCACACAATTCGCGTAATCGATGCTCGCAAACCCGATTATGGTAATTTGCCGGGGGAGTTTGTATAGATAGACGCGCAGAAAGCCTTGTACAGATAGAGAGACCGGGCGTTTTAAAACCTTCGAAAGCGCCCCGGGTGCACACAACTAGACCGGCGGCGGCCTTTTCAAGGACAAAGACGTGCATTTCGGTTATCTCACCGGTTATCCTTTGACCTTTTCCGCGCTGTGCGCGCATATCAGCCGCCATTTGATTATTTAATGTATATCTTGACTGGCATAAACAACGTATAAATAACGCCGATATTGAAGACACTCTCTCCTCTCTCTTTCTCTCTCTCTCTCTCTCTGTGGCCATCGAAAGCGATTTTCCCCAACACGGCGAACGTTACTTTGTGTCGTCGCTTTGTCTTGAACCTGAACATGCAACAATTTATTTTACGTCAAATGAGAAAATGAGATTTTCTACACGCACACACACACACACACACATACCAGTTTCAACGTGTCTGTGCGCGCACGTGTCGACCTATCGGATGGTCCGTATGATCGATCAACTTTGTGGCGGAATCTCCCGACATCTCGCCGCAAATTACATAATTATTCATAACACGAACACGCGTTAAAGCATCCGTTATATATATTCGATCAGAAAACCGATAATGTTGCCGATCGCTGTAAGGAGACTCTCGAGATAATGGATTTTTGCATTTTTAATAAGCACCGATCACGCGCGGCGCGCGTATTTTCGCGTGAGAGGTGAATTTTGTTTTTGTTTTTGTTTTTTTTTTTCTCTATCATTTATGCATCAGCTTTTATCTCGAGCTACGTTAAATTTACTCGAGGGGTTATTTAATTTTTAATATCAAAACTTTTATTTAATTGCGAGCTTTATAAAATAATCGAGCAAAAATCGTTTTTTGATAAAAAAAGAGAGATTTTTTATATTCTCTGGAGTTCAAAAAATTACGGAGATCTTTTTCGGGCGGCTAATTTTGTTATTCGAGTCGCGCGAAAGTATCTAAAATAAGATGCACGAAAAAAAAAAAAAAAAAACGGAGATCGGTCGCGCATACTAATGTAACACCGATGTGACCCGTATCTGTATGTAAAAAAAAAACAGCGCAGTCGGCGGCGATGGAAGACGCGCGCTAATAATTGTTGCGCGGTGAGGAATAAAAAAAATCAAGTGTTCGAGAAAATAATAAAAAAAAAACAAAAACCGCGCTCTAATTACAAAAGAAACAAAGAGAGTACGTAATAAAATTTCGCGCTCGCTGAGAGGAGTCGTCGCACTACCCTCTTCTAAATTTCACAGGGACAACTTTATCTTTACGTCCGAGGTCAGGGGTCGGAGATCGGACTCTACCGTCGAGCGTAGGCCTCTTTGTGGCGCGTTCATTAATCGGAGATTGCGTAGGAGTAGTCAAGGCATACACGTGAGAGAAGCGCGTGAGCGGAGTATCGTAGGCGTACGGGGCGATCGAAGGGATGGCGAGCGTAGTAATAGTAATAGTAGAGGGAGGTAGTGGCGGTGGTGGTGGTGGTCG